AGTAAACGAAGAAAAGTGTGTGATAAATGAAGCAACTGCAGCAAAATTTTAATAACTATTATTCTGGGTGAACAGTATATGGGAGTTCTTTATATTTTTGTCTCCACCTTCACTTGAATTTTAAATGTTTCATAAAGAAATGTTAAGTCAGTTGGCCATCATTATTATCCTCAATAAATATTTAAAGAGTACCTACTAGGATTAAGACTCCTAGGTCTGCACACATGTATAAGATAGGCTCCCTATTTCTCAAAAGCATTAAGAATCTGCCCATGGAGACTGGGCATATCCATATAAAAATAAATGATACGCATTAGATGTCATATACTCAATACTTTATTTAGGTAGTAAATGCAACAATAGTTCAGAGGAGATAACTGTTGGGCAGTTTCAAAAAGCAGGACTTCAAACTTACTACAAAGCTATAGTTATGAAGACTGTGTGGTACTGGCATAAGGAGAGACACATAAATCAATGGAATAAAATTGAGAGTGCAGAATATACCCTCATATCTATAGACAACTGATTTCTCAACAAGAGCGCCAAGATAAAGCAATAGGAAAAAAAACAGTCTTTTCAACAAATGGTGCTTATACAACTGGATACCCACCTGTAAAAATATGAAGTTGTACCTCTACCTCACACCGAATACAAAAATTAACTTAAAATGAATCATAGACCTAAATATAAAAGCTAAAGCTATAAAATTCTTAGGAAAAAACATAGGAGTAAATCTTTGTGAACCTTAGGTTAGGTAACAGCTTCTTAGATATGACACTAAAAATACAAGTGACAAAAAGAAAAATAGATAAATTGGACTTCATCAAAATTTAAAACTTGCGTGCTTAAAGGACATCATCAAGAAAGTGAAAAAACAACTAAGACAATGAAAGAAAATATTTGCAAATCATATATCTGTAAAGGAATTTATATCCAGTATATATAAAGAACTTTTATAACTCAACAATAAAAACCCAAATAATCCAATTTAAAAACGACTAAGGGATTTGAATAGACATTTCTCCAAAGTAGATACTACAAATGGCCAATAAGCACATTAAAAGATGCTCAACATCTTTTGTCGTTAGGGAAATGCAAATCAAAACCACAATGAGATATCACTTTACATCCACTGGGAAAACTAAAATTTAAAAGGTGACAATAATGATGACATGGAGAAATCAGAAGCCTCATACACGCTGATGGGAATGTAAATGATGCAGTCACTTTAGAAAACAGTTTGGCAGTTATTCAGAAAATATGAAGATACCATATGACCCAGCAATTCTATTCCTAGGTATACATACAAAAGGACTGACAA